TTTATTATTCATCCATTCTTTTTATTTATTGAATTAATTTAATATTTTATATTTTTCAATAGTGCAGATTTATATTGAATATAATAATTAATAATAGATGTTTGGAATTTGGAAGTGTTGAATCGAGATTGTTCATTTTTTTAAAACTTATTAGGGGTAAATGTTACAAAGAGTATACATTAGGGATGTAAAGTGTATTTAACATTTATTTCATTAATTAGCCGGTCTATTGAGAATCGGCTAGGTACAACTCCTTAGCCTATCAACCTGCTACTGGGTTTTGGTTGGGCCAACTCTATTGGGCTTATTGAAATATAGTATTGGGCCACAAAAGAAATGCTCTCATTAAATGTTTTTATTTGTATCCCAAAAATTAATGTCAATATACCACATAATAAAACACAGAAAAATATTTAACAAATTGAGTTTTCTATTTTATAAAAGATATATATATATATATATAGATATATATATATGGCTGTATAAGGTGGAGTTTGCTCGATTGTTTCATTAAGCCATTTTTTAGTATTTTGTGTTTTAACTAGTCTTAGATTAAAGTAGCTTAACTTTATCTATCTTGGATCTCAGCTCGTTTGTATTCATTACTGGAAAACCCTAGATTGGTTTGAATTATTCAACATTACATTCATCCGCTCCTTAGAATTATCGTTATTTTTTAATTTTCTTTTTCAAGTTTTATGCACTCTTTCGAGATTCATAACAAAGCTGAATTCATTGGCATGGTGCGATTAAATCTTAACTCATTCTTGTGACGAAAGACGAAATTGACAACTAAATATTACTATTCAATAAAATAGTAGCTACACTACTCGTGATTAATTTTCTGATCGTTCTCAAAAAGAAAATAAAAGGACCGATTTATCCCTAAACTGCTAAGATTAGGATATGACTATTCAGTATTCATATTGTTGAAACTTTACACTTAATACATAATTTAATATCAATGTATTTTGAATTAGATAATATTTGATTAGTTCCATTTGAACTAACTAAACATTAGTAGTAAAGTTTGTATTGATGTTACTCAATCCTAGTATTATAAGTGTTACTAAAAACTAAAAAGTTTCTTACTTTTAACAAAATTTGTTAATAATACTAATCCTTATTATTTAATCTAAATAAAATTAATTTGATAAATGTAATTGCAAAAAATGAAAATGTACATAATTTGATATTTAATTTAAATTAGCGCATATATATATATACATAGAGGTTCAGTCCACCGAGTTACAACGAGTCAAAATTCGTAAATCTGGAAAACCTAGTCCCTCTCTCTCTTATTCATTTCTTCATTCATTCATTCGCGCCCTCGTGCACTCGAAAAGGTTAGCCTTTTTCCTTCTCTCTACTTTCCTTTTTGCCCTTTGTTGGTTTTATTGATTTCAATTTTTAGTTGTTTACGGCTGTTCGATTCCTAATTTTAGTTTGTGAGATTTTTTTTTTCTTTTCAATTTGACCTAGTGGGGTTATGGGTTTAAGGAGATTGTAAGCTAGATTCGGAATTCTTGAGTTAACTTTTTCTGAATTTTCTTTCGTGTGTGGCTTTAGCATTACTGAAATTTTATGCGTGAATGTAACTTGACAGTTGATTGAAGTTTGTACGATGAGTAATGCGTTTTACAAACCCTTATGAATCTTGGAGTTGTGCTGTTGAATTTTGGGGATTAATTAAATACCTGTAAAGATGAAACTTTGTATGGAATCTGAGAAGAAGACGCGGATAATTATTAGTCTATTACCGTAGATTCTTGATATGTAAATGGACTTTGAATTACAAGTTTCATGCATTTGCGATTATATACCCCTCAAAACAGTGCTTCCTCGCGAGTAACTTCTCTATTTTCTGTGACGTTATTGAAATCTTATTTTTGCAATTTTATTTCTAAGCGTTTTGAAATCATAGACCATCGTGTTTTTTGGGATTCGGTGGAATTGGTTTGTTATAATACATGATGTTTCAACTCTAGAAAACTCGAGGCATGCAATGATTTTACTAGTAATCGACTAGTCGTAATAAGTAGTATAGCTCGATCGTTCAGTACAGTAACTTTGAATTAGGTAATGCAATTTAGCGAGGTAGCTGTACCGTAACTAACTTGCCAATAGAGGTTTGGTTGCTTCTTGAGTGAAATTGGATGTAGAATCTAGCTCTTCTTGTAAATATACTGTAAATACTAAAGAATACTTCACAAATCTAATGTGCAACTTACCGATATAGTAATTTGATCCCGTTCCTTTTTTTTCTTTTGCCCATGTAGATGGCTGGTTCCTCAAATACATGATGTCTGTCGAGTGAGACGGCATCATCTCCAAACACATTTTGGTCCAATATCTATAGACAACATATCAATCTCAAAACAGAAAGCTCGATGGTGCTGCTAATGCTGGCATTTTTTATCCTCGATTTATAAGTAGGATGTGTTTGAGCACAAAAGGGCATCAACTAAATAGGGGCGCAAACATGTCGGCGTTAGCAACACCGTTGAGCGTTCCGTTTGAGATTGACAGGCCATTAGCAATGGACTTTGGTTGAAGTTATACTTTCTTGCCAATTGATATTGCACAGGGTGATAAAGTGCTGTTGGCCTCTAATTTTTGATTGGCTAGGAGAAGGTAGGGGCATTTCAGAATTTAATTATTTAACAAGGTTAAGATAAAGTGGATGCTCAAACAGAAAGAGTTGGCTAAGGTGCTTCAATATGCTTAACAGTACAGAGGTGTTATGGTAGTTGATGTTGATTTTGTGTATAGTTCTATCAATAGCATCAAAATAATTTCCGTATGATGATCTTTCTTCGATTACATGGTTGCATATATGCTTTAACAAAATAGTGAATTAAAAAATCTTGAGAATGTATCAAGTTTGCTAATTTCTGTTTTCATTTGACAGGTTTTGTTGTATGAGCAACAATAAATATTACAGGCCTTAATTAGCAAGAGTGCTCCATGGATGAAAGGAGAAAACGAAAACCAATGTGGGGCATGGAGGAGGAGACCAAACATTTATCTGGAACGAGTGAAAATAGTTCTTGGATGGGTAGTGGGCATTATCACGAGTTATCTGAATCGAGAACCACTACTACCCAAAAATCTAGGGATAATTCTGGATGGCCTACTTGGGAATCAATTGAAGAAAACCCAACCGAACCCATGAATACCAGTTTCAAGAATGCGCCCGAAGGGAAGGAAAGAGGTGGAGGAAAAAGATACTACGACGATGTTTCTCCTGGATTTGATGGAGTGGAACTGCGTAGTCATGACCATACCCGTGAATACGATCAATCCCATTCTCAAAGGTCTGTGATTATATGGGGTTGTTTATCCTTTTAATTGTGCAAATGTGATGCCATGATATTGTGATATTAATATTATTGTGAAGAGCTGTTTTCAGACACATTTGGAATTTGCTTTAATGCTGAGGGACACATCCCCAATTACAATGTCTTTTTTTGAACACTTGAGGGATCTTCAATTGCATCTTTAAAACATAAAGTTTATATATGATGCCGTCCCTTTCTTTAAGATTCTTTAATATTCTTTAATATTTCTTGTGCTCATTTTCATTTTCTGCCGATTCTAAAAAATAAATGTTACTCGATTATTGGTCTTGCATTACCCTGCTTGTACTTCCACTGTAGGTACCTAGGAAGAGGCAGGAGTCGGAGCAGAAGCAGGGTTAGGGGCAGGAGTCGAAGTCCGAGCCCAAGTAGAGGCAGGGAAAGGGAAAGAGAAAGGGAAAGGGGAAGCGATAGGGGAAGGGAAAGGAGAAGGGGCTGGAGCAGGAGTCGGAGTAGAAGCAGGACAGATGGCAATGCAAGGCATTATACAAGAAGCCGTAGTCCAATCAGAGATCCTAGACGCCAGTCTTATGAATTGAGTGACAGAAGAAGTGGTCCTGAAAAATCATCTCAGATATGTAGAGATCTTGCTTCAGGAAGGTGCAATAGAGGCAGCCAGTGCAGATTTTTTCATCCTCGCAGGGATGGGGGCCACATGGAAGATGACACAACAGAAAGTTGGAGGAGCAGAGCAGCAGATCGTAGCCGCATTCCAAGACATTCGTACGATAGAGGCTCACGTAATGATGTTTCTGATCCTTATTACAGAGAAGAAGATCAGTTTGTGAGCAGAAGTAGAGGTGCACCTCCTTGCAAGGATTTCATCCGAGGTGACTGTACCTGGGGAGAGAGTTGCAGATTTTCTCACGATGGTTTAGGCCAAAAAACTAGGAATGCATCCTTTGATAAGGACATTGACAGAGAACCGTACAAGAGTGTGAAACCTCTGTGCAAGTATTTTGCAGCCGGGAAGTGTGGTAAGGATAACTGTTGGTTCTCTCATGAGAACCCCAATCTTGATAAGGTAGAAGCTAGGCGAGGCGGTGATGTCACTGAGAGCCGCAGTCCACGTTACAAGAGTAACAGGCGAAGCAGTCCGACATGGGATGATGAACCGAGAATTTCGGACAGACGGAATCACATTGGGCGGAGTGAACCTATTGCAAATACTGATGATCTCAATTACAAGGATAACAAGTGGAATGGTCCCACATGGGATGATGCAACGAGAAATTCGGACACGCTGAAGCACACTGGTTGGGGCGAACCTATTGTTGCTAACGCAACAAATACTGATAATTCTCATGACGACCTCAATCTTAGTAAGGTAGAAGGCAGGCGAGGTGATGTGACTGACACCCGCAGTTCACATTACAAAACTGACACGTGGAATGGTCCGAAATGGGAGGATCCAACGAGAATTTCAGAGAAGCCCCCTGGTTTTGGTGAGCCTATTCTTGCTACTGATAATTCTCATGAGGAACCCAGTCGTGCTAAGGCAAAAGGCAGGCGAGATGAAGTCATTGACAGCCGAAGTTCTCATTACAAGAGTAACATGTGGAATGGTCCCACATGGGATGATGCAACGGGAGTTTCAGACACACTGAACCCTACTGGTTGGGGTGAACCTAATCGTGCTAAGACAACACATACTGATGATTCTTATGAGGATCCCGATCGAAATAAGGTAAAAAGCAGGCGAGATGAAGTCACTGGGGGCCGCAGTTCACATGACAAAAGTAGCAGGTGGAATGGTCCGACAAGGGGTGATGCTACGGGAATCTCAGACACACCGAAGTCCACTGGTTGGGGTGAACCTATTCTTGCTAAGGCAACACATACTGATGATTCTTATGAGGATCGTAATCCTAGTAACGTAAAAGGCAGACGAGGCGAAGCCATTGACAACCGCAGTTCTCATCACAAGAGTAACAGGTGGAATGGTCCCATGTGGGATGATGCAACGGGAGTCTCGGACACACTTCAGCCTAGTGGCTGGGGTGAACCTATTCCTGCTATTGCAACAAATACTGTTCATTCTGATTGGAGAGAAGGTACAGGTATTTCCGTAAATAGTGAGAAACAACCATCACTTCCTGTAGAAAGTGTCAGTTATGGCCATGGACAGGACGCATTACTGGAGAACCAGGATTTCGCTATTAAAGCCTTGCAGCAGAAATATTTCCCAGCTTCTAGTATTCAACAGCAACATGGGACAGCACTAGAAAATAATCAAACGAATACGTTCGGTTCTGATGTTCCTGCCGAGCAGAAGGAGGTCAGATACACTACCGATCCAATTCTTTTTTCGGGACAAACTTTTAATCAAAATGATGGAAATAACGTGGCTGGGAATTTAATCTCACATGAAGGTCAGAATATTTTCTGTCCTGACCCATCAAATGGATTAATCACCGATCTGAATGGGCCTGATACACATACAGTTGGACAGATGGATGTGCAAACGCAGATTATAAACAATCGGAAAGCTGTTCAATCATCAGGGTTATTAGATGCAAAGGTCCTACAGTTGTTAACCAGTGAGCAAAGATCCAATACAGGGACAAACTCTCCTGTGACTAATGCTGGTCAACAGGTTCCTCCTTCCCCCCTTGTTAAGGAATCTGTTGTTCGACCGAATCCAGGTGCTGCTTCTTTTGATCTGTCCCATTCTATGGGACATGACAGAGATAATACCGAGAAACGAAATTTAGCCCAAGGAACTGAACAGAAGAATCAAATGCAACTGAAACTATCCTCTCCGTTTCCTGTAGTTTCTACGGGGGTCGATAGGCTAAATGTGAAGCATCCACAAAGTCCACGACCGAGGCAAGAGGAAGCAGTTCCAAATTCGGAAAATGCAATTGGCGACCAAAATAAGAGCGGTCTAGAAAATAAGCCTTCTGAAAATCTGGATGGTATGAACAAGGATGAAAAAGCGTTGTTTATATTCAAGAATGCCCTCGTGGAATTTGTGAAGGAGCTTTTGAAGCCTGCGTGGAAGGAAGGTCGAATGAGCAGAGATGCTCACAAAACCGTCGTGAAAAAGGTGGTCGACAAAGTTTCTGGTGCCATCCCTGTCGATCACATCCCGAAGACGCAGGATAAAGTCGATCAGTATCTGTCGGTTTCCAAACCCAAAATTGCCAAACTCGTCCAGGTAATTAATTACTTGCTACTTGCAAAATTTTGTGTTGCAACTATTTCATTCTTTAAGCTGAAAGCAGGTTAAGTTAGAGAGTATAATATCGAATACACCGGTTGCTCGATTCTGGATATTTTCGTGCTGGAACTGAAACTTTGCGTTCGTTTATGCAGGCATACGTGGAACGCTCTCAAAAGGCAGATCCTTGAATCATGACATTGAAAATCCTTTTTGTATTGTACTCAGTTAGCATGATGTGTTTAAGCCAGCAAACTAATACCCTGCATTTTTACATTGTTTTGTTAGTGCAAATTGTCCGGACTTAAAAAGATGCTTTTCAGGACAATATTTCTTGAATTCAGTGGTGTACCTAGACCGGTGCTTGTGATTTGAGCCTACCAGATTGTACCTCTTAATTTTCCATGTTTCCCTCCTCTCTTTGGGCAAATTACCTCAGCCCCCCTAGGTAATGTCAAATTACAAAACACCCCCTAATGTTTCGGTAATTACAATCATCCTTCAATTATGTATTCTCCTATACCCTCACGGTGTCAAATTTACCAGGTTTTTTTTTTTTTGTAATTTTAGTTTACCTCAAGGGGGTGATAATTAAAAAGAAGCATAAATTGAAGGTTCACAAATAATTGAATCTTAATTGATATTGAGTTAGTATAATATTCTTTTGGGTAGGTTTGTAATTATGAAGAAAATTGTGCCTTTAAAAATGATTACACATAATTTACTGGCCCATATAAATAGCCCAATTACAAAATTGTGGGCCAAATCAACTGTTAATGGGCCGAATGCCCCACCACCAGAACACCGGCGGAGCTCGGGGTTTTTTGGCTCCAATGTCGAGAAACGCAAATTCTTCTATCTTCCATTTTCGTCTCCGCAAAATCGGCATTCTGGAAGAAGCGGGTAATGAACTTAATTAGCTCAACCAGCCGTCCGTGGACGCGCCTCCGCTGTGGCGGTGCAGTAATTCGAACTCCACCGCGAGTGTCCACGGCCGTGGGGTTTAATACTATCTCTTTCCCATTTTATCCCCATCTCCTTCCAGATGTTTCCGGAAGGTCCTTCATTGCCTCCGCAAAGAAGAAAAATTCGCGGTCGGAGCCAGTTTTGAAACCTGCCATTACCGATGAAGTTTCAGTGGATGGTGATGAAGATGAAATTCTCCTTGAGGGCTTTGAATCCGGTACTCAGATAACTCATTTTTTTTTAAATTAATTTATTTATTTCGTGTTTATTTCAGTAATTAGAGGAATATAGGTGTTAACGAATTGATTTTCACACTGAAAGTATTTTGATATTCAAAAAGTTTGCTGAGTTTAGAATTGGGAAATACAAAATTATTGCTTATTTTGAAAAAAAAACGAGGGAGAATTCGAGTAAAATATACGAAATCGTATATATGGAGAGAAGCAACCACCATGGATATATGCTTTAAGAAATTCATTTGAGGAAAATTCCTATTTAGTTGTTGTGAATGTGATGCTCCCTTAGTTGCTGCTCGATTTCTTTCATATGATATGTAACTCTGTACTATCGATCTATTCATATTGTTGTTGATTGTTGAACCATTGTCTTTTGCTCGAGTTAAATTAACGAGTCTCCGAGTAACAAAAATCAAATTGAAATTTCGTGATTTTATGCATGATAAACTAATAGTTGCTGATCTTCTACTTTATCACTCAACAGACACTGATGTATAACATCGATTTCTTGAATGTACAGACGAGCTGATAGAAGATGACGAAGATTACGACGATGAATATTTTGACGAAGAACCCGAAACCTCTGTAAGTTCTTTACGCCTCGAAATTTCTTTTTCTTTTTCAAATAATAATGACATCTCGATAGAGTTTAAAGAGTGTTTTTGTGTCTTATTGAAGGCAGGGGATGGAGCTGGAGGCGGTGGAATATGTCTAGCTGGCACAGCGTGGGATAAAAAAGCTTTACAAATTGCCGAAGAAGTTGTTGTTTCGTTTGATGGAGAACTTGGTATATACGCCTTTAAGACACTGCTAAATGCCACCATTCAAGTTCGTATAGAGAGACTAACAAATAAGTAAGAAGCTGCTTAATCGCATTTTATTTGTGATTCTGAATCTTCAAAAGGGAAATTGACTTAGCTGGTAAACTTGCTCACGAAAAATCAAATACTTTCTTTAAGATTCTACGTGTCATTTATCCGAAACCTACCATTTTCTTTTTCCCCCCCTCGATTACTCAGTTATTAATACAATAATTTGTTGTTTATGTTTGTCTATTAAACCCTAGTTAGTTATCAACGAATGTTAAGACTTTGTTCTGATAATATATCTCAGGTCTGGCTCTCCCGATATGACTGACATTGAAGCTTTCTCAAGAAAGTATCGAACACAGCTCGATGAAGCTGAAGCTAACGGCTCTATTCCTGCAAACGTATCTCTAGAGGTTATTTATTTTCTCTCTCTCTCTCTCTCTCTCTCTCTCTATATATATATATATATATATATATATATATATATATATATATATATATATATATATATATATATATATATATATATATATATATATATATAGAGAGAGAGAGAGAGAGAGAGAGAGAGAGAGAGAGAGAGAGAGAGAGAGAGAGAGAGAGAGAGAGAGAGATAGAGAGGGAGATATGTATGTATATGCGTGTGTGCGCGCGTGCGTGAGAGAGAGCGAGAGAGAGAGAGAGAGAGAGTGAGAGAGAGAGAGAAAATCTATATATCTATATATATATATATATATATATATATATAGAGAGACAGAGAGAGAGACAGAGTCTGACTGAGAGAGAGAGAGAGAGAGAGAGAGAGAGAGAG